AAATAGTTAAAGCTGTTGACGCTCCCCTTGAACAGTTTTCTATTTTCAATTTGTAGAATAATAATCTTAGATAACTTTTTTTTTTACAGGAAAGAAAGAAGAACATATTGCCATTCTTGCTAGTGGATGGGATGATTTGGCTGAAGATTCTAATCCCAAAGTTCTTGGGATTCCTACGATCTTAAATGAGCCCAAATGATTAATTTATCAAATGATTAATTTATCAAAACAATTTAAATCATGGAAACTACTTGATGATTTTATTGCTTTTGGTTTCGATACAACAACTAGTAACACCGGGTGGAAAGCAGGATGTGCGGCTTTAATTGAGAAGGATATTGGTCGAGTAATTTTATGGGCTGCGTGTTGACATCACATTTATAAGATACAAATTAAATACGTCTGGGAAGCAGTTATCGGAAACTATAGTGGACCAATCGAGCCGCTTCTTAAAATGTTTCAGGATATCTGGGGCTCAATTTCCCATAAAAAAAAGATAATATTGAGTTTGAACTTCCTGAAGACAGAGATAACCCAACTAATTGTCAAGCAAAACTTGTCTTGAAATGGGCCATCAATTGTTGTTGTTGCAAACGATAATACGCCTTACTCATGTGTAGTCCGAAAAGGTGGGATTTATTATATAAGTCTATTGGTTTTTTACTTCACGGCATTTCTGGCCCCAGATGGTCAGATCAAATCGAGAGTTTAAAATCATTTTGAGCTCATCTTCCAGGAGTAAAACTGGCTTTTTTAGACTTGCTCCAGCTTAATCTTACTCCAAGAACTAAAAATGAGATTCGTGTGGCACAGAATATTATGGAATATAATTCCAATTGATATTTGCAACAAAGTCATTCAAGCCAGTAACGCAACTTTAGAGATAGATGTTTCAGATATAGAAAGCTTACTTTCATAATTAGTAGCAATTCGTGACAGTTGGAAAGCAATGTTGAATAAACCTAAGCATGTTGAATCTAGCCTTGATATAGAAATAAAATTGTTTAAGAACGATAGCAGAAAACAGTTTCACAATAAAAATGTAAGTAAAATGAGTGAGGTAGGCGAATTTCCCTTGAAATTCCAATTGCAAAAGCAAATTTTTAATGTAATATTGGATAATATTTTTGTAGGACTTACAGTTCTTTTTAGCGCCGTAAAACAGATCTCTTCAGAAACTTTCTTTGGAACTACCAAAAAATGACAGAGGAGGAATTAATACACGAAGCAGCTAGTTTTGTAAAGAAATTTCACTGTTAGTTTGGTTAACAGAACATTAAGACTGTCCGAATGATGATTTGTTGTAGATGACTTACATGTACTTTTTATTTACTCTAATTAATTTTATCTATGGATCTTGTACATATTTTTTTTTTATATGTACATGATGTTTGAATCAAATACATTGATAACAATATAATAATAAAAATATAAAATAAATAATTAAATTTTATATCAAAATTTAACTTATTTTACCGTAGCTACCAGATACGGCATAAATGAGTTAAATTTGAAGTCTAATCCAAGAAAACATATGATATTTTCCAAATTTTGCATTTTTTGCATATTCGGCCGAACTTTTGCCAAGGTTCGGCCGAATCGAAACATTTCATGGTTGTTTACCTATAGTACGAGTACTAATCTAAAATAAATTCGCTTCCGTCCACCTTTACTGTTTTAAATGAACTTAACTTGTAGAATTGTCATTTTGCTATGAAACTTTCACCGTTGTAATGCAGATTTAGCCTCTTTGCGATGATTTGATTTAAGCCTCTTTTCGATGATTTATAATTATAACTAAAATAGTTTAAAATTTTTACTCACACGCTTATGTTGTAACTCAAAGTATTAAGCTTGGTTTAGAAAATGATGCTCTGTTCTTTTGTGATTTAAATTGTTCATAGATGTTATTTACCATTAAATTAATGAGTAATCAATACTTATTTTGCAATATTCAAAGTTGTTTTAGTAGACCTTTTGTATTTTTTTTAGTTATAAGAAAGTCATGAAAAAAACTAGACGTTTTGAATAGTCAAATGCTGACATGCCACTGTTGCAGTTAAAAGTTTTTTATTGTAATGAGTGGCAGTATAAAGTTCCAAGAGCTGGAAAATATCTTACACCCTAAGATATTATCCAGCGACCTCTTTCAAAACTACCAAATCGTTTAGAAGAAAAATAAGGTTTGGGAAAAAACAATTTGTGAAATAAGTTTCTTAATTTAGTAAGAAATACCTAATTAAATTTAAACATAATACTGAATCAGAAAAATTGTGGCATTAAAGCAAAACCACAGGACTGTGGTTCTGAGAAAACCTGAAGGAACATCAATGCATGTTAGTCCAAAAAGTTTCTATATATTTTTTTGCACTTCAATAAGATTTAGTAAGATGGATCCCAGCCAGCACAACTCAGAAAATAGTTACGCTTGGTTTCTGTTGCGTTTTTAAAACCTTTTAAAACAAAAAGAATAACACGTATCAAAAATGGTTTTTATTCCGTGAAATTAACTATTACTTTTTACCATAAATACCAGTTAAAGTATTAATGGTTTCACCGTTATGAAAACGTAGTATTATATTGTAATAACTTTCCGTAAGGAATGTGAAACCACTGATAAAAACATGCGACATTTAAACTTGACTTTAAAACCTCAAAAAAACACTTGTTAAAACTCTAGTAAAACTGCCCGTAATATACACGTGCTTTTGGTTTACGCCTGGATCGTGAAAAACACATGCCTATATAGGTTTTATTTCCGAAAAAGAAACTAGATGTGCCGGTAGGAATATTTCTGCTATGACTTCTACTATTTAAAATATAGGCAAGAATGGACTTTAATTAAACTTTAAACAACCTAAAATTGTTGCTGCTCAAGAGTGCCAAACATTTTCAGTTTTGCACTTAAGGAAAAGAGGAAATCACTATAGTTACAGCTGTGAATGCTACTGGTAAAACTATACCTCCACGGTGTTACTAAAACTTTTATAACTTTTGAAATATAACAGATAATTTTGTTCTGTAAAAAGAATATAAACAGCAATAAATTTTTTTATCTTTTAACATTCAATCAAGTATTAAAAGTTTCTTTGATTTTTGAATAAACGCGCAGAAATTATGGCTGATTTTGAAAAGTTTAATTTTACTTTTTAGCAAAAATAAATAAAAAATATACATTTCTGTTGCTTAATACACAGTATAAACATTGTTAGACAGTTTTTAAAGCAAAAAATTTTACTTTAATCTAATCTGAATCGATATTATTATTAACTTCAGGCAACAAAATCTCAAAATATTACAAAAACCGCTTCTTTTTTTTTAAAAAAAAGAAGTTTAAATGGAAATTAAATGTATTTATCAATGTTAAAGATATTAAAGACATTTTAAAAAAAATATTTAAGTATCTGAAATAATTTCACAAAGTTGATAAGCCTAATAAAAACCAAAATAAAAACTAGAGTGTATTTATGTAGCGCATTTAAGGTTACGTGACGTAACATACGTCATTTTCTAAATATAAACAAAAGTTCAAATTTAGTCCTAAACATGCAAAGTTTGAAAACATATTTCTTAACATAGCCAGAAGTACAGAAAATAATTTTTTGATTTTCTTATTTATAAAAAGTTGAAGTATTACTAATTCCACAGACTTTTCAAAAAAGTTATGTTTTTTATTCAAAACAAATAAAAATAAAAACATAAATGCACTAAAAACTAACTTTTTATATAAAATATTGAAAAGTCTGTGGAAATCTAGAGAGAATAGAAATTCATTAATAAGTCTTCTGAATTTCAATCATCGACCATGTAGCTATGTTAGGAAGTCTTAGTTGTCTTAAGACAGGTTTTCCGTAAAAATCGTAAAAATCAAAAAAGTGATCCCAAATTATTACCAACATTTTTACAACTTTTCTTTCTATTCCGTTTAATACAAATATTTATTTAACAAGGAAAGATAGATTTTTCATATTTTTTTAATTATAAGAAGAAAGCGTTGATAGAAAAAAAATATTCTTATTTTAAAGTTGTTGAATTTTTATACTTTTTATGCGGAAATTTTTTTTTTTTTTTTTGCTAAACTCGTGACGTAATGCCCAATTTTACATTGCGTGAAACAGGTGAATCAAAATACATTTTTGCCACAGCAAAAAACCACAGATATTATTAGTTAATGATCGTGATTCTCACAATTCAGTCGAACTATTATATTGATAACAACATTAAAATTTTTACATTCACTGGTTGCAGCCATTATGTTGTTAAGTATTTGGCCCCATGATAAGTCTTGTATCAAGAAACATCATAAATTTATATTTTTTTTAATTTTTAAAATTTTATTAGGATAGAATTGCATAAGAGATATAACTGGATTTGCGGCGAAGGTGTATTTGATTCACATGTGATTAAAACGATGAGTTATTCTAGCCCTTTTTAAATAGAAATTAACTAAGAAATGCTACCCTCCCCTAACCCCGTGAATCAAATACACCTCCGCCGGATTTGCAATATCTGTTATTCAAAATGCACTGCTACCAACAGTTCTTACAGTGTGTCAGCACATTAAGTATTATATAATAACACTTATAAAAAAGCAAAAAATGCTCATTATATTGACATGTCGTCGGGAATAGTGCAAATCCGCGTAACTAGCATTGGCTACTATATTTGGATATTATTAATTTTAACACCAAATATTTATTGTTGAGATTACAAAAAACACGAATAATACTCTTTTTACTAAAATGAACCCGAAATCAGTTAAAATAAAAAATAATTAAAGTTTTAAATTTCTCCAGTAATAAAAAATGTACTGTAGATACGCGGTATTATAAAATGCTAGTTACGCGGTTTTGCACTATTCCCAACGATGTATTATTAATAAGATTTGTCAACACATAATATTTTTAAGAAATGTTTTCACTTTTTTTTTTTTTTTTTTTTTTTTTGCAATTATTTATTCTTTTACCATATCCTAAAGTTTTGAAGTATACTAAACATACCATGTCTAGACATAAACATATTAAAGATATAAGTAAGGTGACCATATTCTTGATTTTTACATTTCATTGATTTCTCTAATAGAAAAACCAGGTAGATATAACACTTCTACACATTATTCTCAGAAATCAAGTATATTTAAGGTTTGTTGAATTTTTAAATATATTTTTTTTATCTTCCATTTACTATTAGTTACCATTTGATTGTTATTACTTTGTTTAATAGCAATTTTATTAATTTTAATAAAAATTATTTCTAATTTTAAAAGAATATATTTATGGTTCATTATTTTAATTATAGCTTTTCTAATTGTCTTATTAGTTATAACTTTTGAATTGTTTTTTTTTTAGATGTCTAAAATACTAAAAACTATTATATTTGGTGCTCCTGGCTCTGGAAAAGGTATAAAAATGTATTGGTGTATTCTTAATGCTTACTGTTTTTATATTTTTTTAAATATATATTGTTGTTACTATTCTGTTTAAAAGTAAAATCTATTTTTTATTGACTGGATTATTCTTTTGATGAATTTAAACTTACTTAAATTCAAAAAATACTTGTCATGATAAGAAGCTAACAATCTCTGTTTGCTTGGAGGGGGCATTTAAGCTTAAAAAGGATCTCCTTTCTGCTACAGCATGGAGCTCACAGTGGCTGGTGAACTTAAGTTCAGATAAAACTCAATTTTTTTCAGCCAATCATTATCACAATAATTTAGACCTTCTTATATTTATGAATGGTAATGTACTCGATGAGTCATCTACTCTTCATCTTCTAGTATTAACTCTTCCGGTCTTTCTTGGAAACCATATATCAAATCCGTTGCAAAATTAGCATCTGCTAAAGTTGCATCTCCCTATTTAGCTCAATACTTTCACCGGAATCTATTCTCTATCTCTATAAGTCTTAAATCTGGCCTTCTATGGAATACTGTTGCCATATCTGGAGCGGATCTTTTAATGATGCCCTTTCTCTTTTAGACACGGTGCAAAAACGCATTGTAAAAATAGTTGGACCTGCTCTTGCAGCCAACCTTCAACCATTATCACATCATCATAATGTTGCATGTGCCATCTGCTAAAAATTCATTCTCATGTTACTTGTCATTCAATTAAGTCTCATCCGTTTTTTGTGACTGTTCCTAAGTGCTCCAAAAACTCTTATTCCTAAAGTTTTTTTCCTCAAACATCAGTTCTTTGGAATTCGCTTCCTTCATCTTGCTTTCCTGATTCATATAGTTTGCAATCTTTCAAGTTGTCTGTCAATCGTTATCTTGCTCTAAAATCTTCATCTTTTCTCTTCCAATAACTTCCAACTCTAATTAGTGGTTGCCTGCAGCCATTTTGGAAGCAAAGATGTTTAAAAAAAAAAAAAAATTTGTCCAAATTTTTACATTTAGCTATAAGATAGTTAAAGAATCAACAAACATGATATAGAAAGCTAAATATTAAATATAAATTCTGTATATCAGACCAGACCTTTGTTTGGAATTATGGCTGCTTACTTTGCCAATTATTAAATTATTAAAAAATATGTTGACATTTTTAACATTTGAACATTTTTACCTATTATAATGTATATGGGACTTTTTAAAACTTGGGTATTATTAGCTGTAGTGGAACCCATATTTTTTATTATGAGATCGTTAATGGCCAATATTTAGTTAAGGTAGATTTTTGTCAGATCAAGTTATTATTATTTAAAACAAAAATTATTTTAATTTTAATTTTGATTTATTTGAAACTTTGAATTTATTTCTGATCACATATTATATAATTATTGCTGATCAGATATATATAGTTTGACAAATATAAAATTATTTCTGACAGGATATTATATACTTATTTTTTTTTTTAATTATCTTCGCTTCCAACAAGGCTGCAAGCAACCACTAATGAGTGATGGAAGTTACTGGAAGAGAAAAGATGAAGATTGTAGAGCAAGATAACGATTGACAGACGACTTAAAAGATGGCAAATTATATGAATCATGAAAGAAAGATGAAGGAAGCGAATTCCAAAGAACTGATGTTCAAGGAAAAAACTAGACGAATAAGAGTTTTTGGAGCACTTAGGAACAGTAACAGAAAAAGGATGAGACTTAATTGAATGATGAGTAACACGAGAATAAATTTTAGTAGATGGCACAAGAGACGCTAGCTCTTTAGAGCAGTGCCCATTATAGTATTTGTAGAAAAGAGAAAGAGAAGCAACATTACGACGATGTGACAGAGGTTGAAGGTTAGCTGCAAGAGCAGGATCAACTATGTTTACAATGCATTTTTGCACCTTGTCTAAAAGAGAAAGGGCATCATTAGAAGATCCACCCCAGATATGGCAACAGTATTCCATACAAGGCCGGATTTGAGATTTATAGAGATAGAGAATAGAATCCAGAGTAAGAAAGTGACGAGCTCGATAAAGAGAAGCAACTTTAGCAGATGCTAATTTTGCAACGGATTTGATATAAGGTTTCCAAGAAAGATCAGAAGTAAGAGTTAATCCTAGAAGATGAAGGGTAGGAGACTCATCGAGTACATTACCGTTCATAAATATAGGAAGGTCTAAACTATTGCGATAACGATTGACTGAAAAAAATTGAGTTTTATCTGAATTAAAGTTCACCAGCCACTGTGAGCCCCATGCTATAGCAGAAGTGAGATCCTTTTCAAGCTCAGATGCCCCCCGCAAGCAATCAGAGGGAGTTGGCTTCTTATTGTGACAAGAATAAATGGTAGTATCATCAGCGAACAATGCCACCTTAGATGTGAGAATATCTGGAAGATCGTTAATGTAAATTAAAAAGAGTATAGGGCCAAGGATTGAACCTTGAGGAACCCCTGAGGTTACAAAATAAGAAGAAGAGTGCTGTCCATCAAGGACAACTTTTATACTACGATTGGAAAGGAAGGATTTAATAATCTTAAAGATGTTTCCAGATACACCGTAAGAAGAAAGCTTATGGAGAAGACCAGCATGCCAAACTTTATCAAACGCTTTAGAAATGTCAAGAGCAATGGCCTTAACCTCTCCACCTTTATCTAATGCGCAATAAAACCTATCGGTTATTACTGATAGCAAATCAGCCGTAGAACAAGAAGATCGAAATCCATATTGATGATCAGAAAGTAGGTTATGAGATTCGAGATTAAGTGTTTGCTAATTAAAGATTCAAAAACCTTGCTTATGATAGGAAGAAGACTAATGGGACGGTAGTTAGACAAATCGGATCGCTCTCCAGAATTTTTAAAAATAGGGATAACGGATGCTGCAGGCTAGGTCAGGAAGCGGGTGCGATTGCACTCGATAACTGACCACGGAAAAAATATTTAATTGCAAAAAACCGGCCAGATTTTTTAGTCGTTTTGAGAACATTTAAATTTATATGTTTCCTTAATTAAGTTCATTATTTTATCGTAAATTTTAAAATATTTTGTTTTACGGACATACATGGAAACATGTATAAATTCGACATCTTAGTGCGGAAAATTAAAAAAAAATATTTGCAAATACAAAACCCGCCAAATCTACGAACAACTAATGCTATTGGTTCAAAAAATACTAACGTTTTGTAAATATATTATTGATTTTATTAGTATATTCTTATTTTAAATAAGAGATGTATTTTTTATGTATGTATTTTTTAATGTGCATTAAATTTTATGTATGTGTATTTTATTCATATGTAATCTTTTAAAGCAATTTGTGCGATTGATTTTGTAAACAAAAATACTTTCAATATTAACTGTGTTTTTAATGAAATTATTAATAATCATCAAAGTTAATACAAGTAATTTTAACCACATCAATTTTCCTCAGTGCACACGATAACTGATTCTTTCCCCTAAGAAAGAAAAGTCTTAGAAATTGGTTTACTTACTTCAATTATTTTTGCTTCAGCCATTCTTACAAACTCGTTATACTTAAACTTAAAGTTACTTTTTCTTAAAATTATAAAACCCACTCATTAAACATCTTCAGCGTTATTGTGAAGCAGTTCTGCTTCCTCCTCACATAGTAGTTTAACGTTTTTAGTTAATTTCAATTTAGCTAATCGAATTTCTACAGTAACTAAATGATTTAATTATTTTATTTGTTTATCTTACTAAGAAAAATTGTTTCAAATGTGTTAAACTTTTTAAACTACGTGAAGCATAAAACAGTTATCGAAAAAACTTTTTTATTTATAAATAAATCATCTAGCGTTAGTTTTATTGGTTGAATCTTGTTGGACTTTTCAGGGCTGGGGACTGCATTATTTTGGCGGTCTTTTTTATGTGCCACAGCGTAAAAATGATTTAAAAAAATACCGAATGGACCTCTTGACTATTTCGCGGCCCCCAACATTGCGAGTCTTGAGGCTATAGCCCTTCTACTTCCTCCCCCCCTACCTCCTCCATCCAGCACTGGAAATAAGACATAAATATATAAACAAAAATTATATATACTCTTTGATAAATCGAAGAACATTTGTTTCCTAATTAAACAATCATTAATAGTAAGTTCTTGCTTTATACAAAAAATGTCACTTAATTTTATAAAAAAAAGAACGATGTTTCAAAAATTGCTCTAATCGTGTTTATTTTGCTTAAAGTTTTTTCGCCTTTGTTTTAAGCTCTTTTTTGAAGTCTCTCATCGGTCCAGTTAATCTTATTGCGCTTTTTTGTTTGTTTTTGAAATGTTCTCAAAACGACTTAAAAATCTGGCCAGCTTTTCGCAACTAAATATTATTTCCGTGGTCAATTATCGAGTGCGATTGCACCCGCTTCCCGACCAAGCCTGATGCTGCTTTCCAGCAGGCTGGAAAACAAGACTCTGATAAGCACTTGTTAAATAGTTTTGAAATGATAGACGACAGCTCCGGAGAACACTTCTGCAAGACTATAACAGGTATGTTGTTCAGGCTGCAAGCTGTAGAAGAGTCTAAGCGGGAAATCACTTTAGATACAGAAGCTGGAGTGATACGAATGTTGATCAACCTGTTTGACGGCTATATCAGCTAGAACGCAACTAGTGGCATCAAGAGATGATATTGATTAAAAGTTCTTGGCAAACAATTCAGCTTTGTCTTTAGGTGAGGTGACAAAGTCTGAACCATACAAAAGAGGTGGAATTACAGACTTGCCCTTATTATTGATACTATTAAAGATTCTCCAGAAGTCACGAGAGCCTAATTTTTGTGATGAAATACGAGATTTCATGATCTGAGAATAGCAGGCTTTGGCATTAGACAAAACTTTTTTATAATGGTTCCTAGCAGTAATAAACAGACGTCTGTTTTCTGGAGAATGGTTTTGCTGATAGATATGGAAGTAATGGTTTCGATTGGCAATTGCAGCAGCACAATGTGAGGAAAACCATGGAGAAGAGTGAGGCTTGACCTGGAATCGTCGAGAGGGAATA